GCAACACTGCATCTATCAAGACATAAGGTCTCCAGTTACATGTGCACCACAGTCACCTGATATTCTTTTCAAGTATACACACATTCCCAAGTAAGAGTCTTCACAGATGGACCCTGGATGTCTATAGCTGGAAAATGTACCATAGGCAACCAACACTGAGATTGGATTACATTTACACAGACTTCACAGGCTTCTAATAATTTAGTCATCTGTAATACAGAACATGGCAGACTTAAAGAGGCAAAACAAAGTGATGCCAGGTAGCTCACAGATATAGCAATGTAACAACAATGAATAGTCTGCCCTTGGGAATGAGACAGTAAAGCCACCAGAAGCAGTCAACGAGAACACTTCCAAGCCCAATGCTCAAGTCTCCACCATGAGGGGAAAGATCAGTCTTCTCACAGGGCTATTTTACTACACATGAGATTTTAGGTTTATTACATCAACACTGAGATACCAAAGGGTGATTTATGATTAAATGTACTATTTTGGTTAAAAACGAAACTGTATTTATTTGGGATGGGAGTATAGTGGGTACTTCAATACTAGGGCACCTATTTGATATGCATGAGGTTCTAGGGTTCAACCCAATCTACTTCAATCAAAGCAGCTCTCTACACCCCTCACCCAAAGAGGAAATGTGACATTTGAAAGAAACAAGTGACTACAATTTCTTCAATTTTCATTAACAGATTATTTCCCAATAGAGAAAATACCTTAACCCAGATAATAGCACCCAACTCAGTTACAAAGCATTTGCTCTCCTTTAATACGGCAGAAGTTCAGCCCTAACTACTGCTTGCTGTCTGAAGTGCAAGGCACCACCACAGCTGGTGTGACGGAGCTCTCGTCTGCTTACCTGGGTCGCATCATGTTACTCTCGCTCTCTTTCCTCTTCAGATCCCATCTGATGACACACATACTAAAGATATTGGTGATGGGCAACAGCCAAGGTTTGGAAAAGGTCGTGAGGGAGGTTAGGCTCCAAAGATAATGAATTCTAGTTCTCACACTATCTACTACAAATTCCACCACTGACAATTTTCCTCAAAGTCTTATACACTTTCTTAGCATATATTACACCTCAAACTTTGAGATATTTAAACATTTTTTAAAACCTTCAGATAATCAACATATTGATTTATAAACTATAAACTGGAGATAAACCTGTCTGTCTTCATGTGAAAATGGCAGAATAAGTTATTTCAATGAAATATCTTAAGTATAGCACTAACACACTTTTGAAGAGATATGAAAGAACTCAGCTTACACCTCAAAGTCCTAACACTTCGGACACCAGGCTGACCTCAAACTCAAGAGATATGCCTGCCTCTGCCTCCCACGTGCTGGGATTAGAGGTGTGTACCAACATGCCCTGCTATGAACTTTGGAGAGGGGGAGGGAGAGATAGAGTTTCTCTGTGTAAAAGTCCTGGCTATCCTAGAACTCTGTAGACCTGCTGGCCTTGAACTCAGAGATCTACCTGCCTCTGTCCTGCCTTCCCAGAGTGCTGGGATCAAAGGTGTGCACTGCTATGGCTCAACTGCTGTGAACAATCTTAAAGTGACTACTTTTGTTCTTCTCATTTGTGCCTGCTCTATCTATACTATGTATAGGACCACTGTTCTAAGAACCCCTGAAGGGCCTGCCCTGAGATGCTCTCTGTACACTGCACTTAGAACAGATTGTCTCTCTGGCCACTACATTGATTGGGACAGAATACCTTGGTGCTGCTTTTAGAAATCTTCAAAGAACGGACTTAGATAAGCAAAGCTTTGAATACATGATGTGTGTTTAGAAATGCCTCACCAGGTGGTGGTGGCACACACCTTTAATCCCAGTTCTTGGGGTTGATCCTCAGCACCCTCCTCACACCCACCAAAGGCCTAGAGAGCACATCACCAAAAAAGGTTCTGGTAATCCTCTACTGGACAGTAGTAATCTAGAATTCAGTGAGAACTTCAGAAGGCATCAAGTTGGAACTGGAGGATTAAGTGGTAAAAAGCATGTAACATTCTTGCAGAGGGCCTGGGTTTGATTTCCAGTCGTGAGCAGGTAGCTTACAACTACTAACTCCAGCTTCAGGGAATTCTGTCATGGAAGAGCACACGTACACGTGTGTACACGTGTGTGTACGCGCGCACGCGCGCGCATACACACACACAGACACACAACCAGGCATGCTAGAGCACTCCTTTAATTCCAGCCTAGTCTATAAAGTGAGTTCCAGGGCAGCCAAGGCTGTTACAAAGAAACCCTGTCTCAAAAAACCACAATAATAACAGTAACAACAACAATAATAGGTTGAAGAGATAACTAGGTAGTTAACAGCACTTGCAGCTCTTCAAAGAATCTGGGTTTGGCGGTTCATAACCATCCATAACTCTAGACCCAGGGGATTCAATGCCTTTTTCTGACTTCCATAGACACCAGGCAAGCAGGTAACGCATGCATGCATGCAGGTGCGCGCACACCACACATGGGCACGCGCGTGCGCGACACACACACACACACACACACACACACACACACTCAGGCAAAATACTCCTACACATAAAATAAATCAAACTTTTTTTAAAAAAAAAATAAATTACAGAGTAGCACCAGAAAAAACATGGTAATAAAATATCTAGGAAAACAATGCACATACATAGACTTAAAATCTTGAAAGAGGGCCTGAAGAGATGTTCAGGTTCAGAGCACTGACTGCTCTTCCAGAAGACCTGCGTTCAGTTCTTGGTGCTCACATGGTGGCTCACAACCACCTGTAACTCCAGGTTCAGAAGCTCTAATGCCCTTTTCTGGCCTCTGCAGGCATCAGGCATGCATGTGATGCATGTGGTATACAGACAGACAGACATGAAGGCAAAACACTCATATGTATACAATGGAAAAAAAACTTTAAATTCTTAAAACACATTACCCATATGTAAACAGTGAGCACAAAGTAGCAAATCAACCATTATTACAATTTTAGAAGTTAATTTTTCACAGACCCTCAAATTCTGAGGAATTTGATTTGTTGATACAAAGACCAGTAACAATAAAAACAAATCCCATTCATCACTGAGAAAAACAGTAAAACTCCAAACGAGAAGGAGGTGAGGGTGAGAGAAAGGGTTCCATAAAAGGAAACACAAATGTCACACAAATGAGAAATATGAACTCAGTATGACCCAAAACTGAAGAAATATGATTCCAACTACAGTGTCTTTTGTGACGAGCTATAGAAGGCCAAGTGACCCTTCAAACTCTCAAGGGTGCAGGCAGCACCAGTCACAAACACTTGGTTGGATATAACTTGTACAATGATTCTGGAAATCAAGTGTATACCCTTTGATTCCATAACACAATGGTAAATGTATAGCACTGACTTAAAATGGAGATGAAAAGAATACAACAACAAATCAATACTCAACAAAACAATCATTAATTATAACATGATCTGGTCAAAGTGACATATTAAGCAGCTAATGAACGTGCTTTAAAAACCTTATGGAGCTGGGAATATAGCTCAATGGTATAACGCTTGTCCAGAATGAGGAAAGATATGCGTGTGCGTGCGTGTATGTATGTGTTCCCAAGCACAGTAGAAATAAACAAAAAACTACTGTTGGTAACTTTAAGTACAAAAATGAGCTAAACACACCATGTAAGTTTTAAATAATTAGAAAATTACTTTTACACAAATCACTAAAGTTTAAAGACGGAAAAGAAATAGGGCAGAGAATCAAAATCTGTTAGAAATACAACTCAGTTATTTCATACTGTAATTTTCAAACTTTGATACCATAAGCACATGTTCTATATCCCTAAGACAGCAGCAAGAGGTATGTTAACAACAGGGAATGAAAGGTGCAGAAAGCAGTTCCCATCTCCATGGTGTAAACATCCCCACAGGGGCTAATGCTAAAAGGTAGCAGTACCTTCAGCAACTGCCTCACAAAACTACTGAAGCTCTAGTAGTCTGCTCTTGCAACCCAGTACTAATTGCTCTAGGCCACTATAGTATATAACTGTACATAATAATTAAGTAGCCATCAAAAAGAACCTGCTACTCAATCAGCATGGTAGTTCATACTAGTAATCAAGAAACAGAGGTAGGAAGATTCCAAGTTCAAAACCAGCTTAGTCTAGATCATATTAAGACTATATATATATAGTCATATTATGATATTTAAAGGGGAAACTAAAGATAAGGCTCAGGATGCAAAGCATACAAAAAACCCTGGGTTCGTATCCAGTACTGTCCAAAACTATGCATGGTGGCACACTCCTGTGTAATCCTAGTACTTAAAGAGATAAAGGTGGGAGAATTAGAAACACAAAGTCATTCTTGGCTTCTTATTAAGCTTCTTGGCTTCTTATTGTTTCAAAAAAGGAGGTGAGGGGTAGCTTCTTTACTACATAGGGTAGAAGCTGTAAGAAGTAATTATGAAGATAACTGACAATGATACATACTACCAAACATCAAGACACTGCCACTGCAAGAGAAAACACACAAAAGCAGACCAACTCCTAATAGCATTTATTACCAATCCATTCATTGCGCCATGAAACATTAAGGGTTCATTTAGCCTCCCCCTTCAGGTCCTGGATACAGCTGTGATAGAATGAGGTCTGCCCTCAGGGAGCTTACATTCTTAAACTTTTATGAAACATTACACATATTAAAATATGACTAACAAGCAAGAACCTACCAATCCTGTTAGTTTTTAAATACAAGGGAAACGTGGAAAGCCAGAAGTTCATTTTTAGAGAAGAAAGGGATATGAATGTGGGAGAGAGGGAGATTAAGAAGTCATGCCCACCCCATCCACAGAGGTATGCATCTCTTTTCTCTATGCCTCCTGCAGAAGCTGGGGTAGCATACCAACTGTTCTAAACCATGTTAAGACTTCTGTCTGGCTTAAGGTCCAAACAGATTCCTGCTCACAAGATAAGCCAACAGTTTAAAATTAAAAGGTTAGTGATGACACCTTAACACATTCTCTTACTTTTGCAGGAGAGCGTTGTTTCCGCTTCTTCTTTTTCTGTAAGTCTACTGGCTCTCTGACTTGTTTTTTGTCTCTCATCAGTTGCTCAGATACATCAGTAAAAGTAATTTCCTGCTTTACACTTATCTGTTTAAAAAAAACAAAGCTGATTTTAGAAATGCATAAAGTCCAATGTGCATTGTGCCGAAGTACAACTTCTAACAAAATCATCCTGAGGGGTATTTTGGGGGATGCTAGAACATCAACCACAGGACAGAAATTAAACTTGAGGATGGACTCCAAGTAGGCTCTGCCTACTCATTCTATATTTCTAAAGTTGCTTGAATTTAGCCCAAAAGGGTTACTTGTATTAACTCATTGTCATCTGTACCTTCTCCCTACACACAGGCACCAAATCAAACCAACCAGGATAAAGTCCATTCTGGTGAAGAGGGTTGAAGAAAACCAAACCAAAGGACAGTTAATCAACAATGTTAGAGAGAACAGTTCCTAGACAAGGTATGTGGGGGTGGGTACCAGAACTGAAATGGCATGGTAACACATGCCTATAATTCTAACACTTGGGAGGCTAAAGGGGAAGAATCATGAGGTTGAGGCCAGCCCAGGCTACACAACAAAACCTTGTCTTAATGTCAGTAACAAAAACAAAGTCACTGTGTTAACCCTTGTCAGCGTAACTACAGCCATAAAGTTACGGAGAATGGACCTTATGCATAGTTAACTGACACTAAGTTCCTTTCACTACTATTCACACCCATGGTGCTCTTAACAAGTGTGACTCCATTTTCCTGGGCTCTGCTCTACCGTGGCACTCCTATTTCCAGGCATAAGCACCCTGCTCTGTTCACCTATGTGCTCTGTCATTAGGGTCTGCCCTTTCACATGTATTAGTTGATATCACTCGCACAATAACCGGGCAAGACTAGATTAGCTGACACCTTACTTCTTCAAGATTGAGAGTATTAATACACAAGGGAAGAGTTGGAACAGGCACTTAGAAACTGCCTTTCTAAGAAGCAGCTACTCCTTACTTAGGCTTCAAGGTAACTCAATTCGGAATGAAAGCCTGCCTTCTCTACTTTGGTTTTGTTTGTCTCCTTTACTTGGGGTTACCTGCTTACCTCTCCAGGGGTCTCTGTATAATCTATCTCATCCCCTGAACAGTTGACAGCATAATTAAATCATGTCTTTAATCCTTCTTCTGTATCACGGTGGATACCCAGGATAGCGTATCCTCACAGGACAGTCCCCTGGAGCAGAAGTAACCCTATCACGGTAACTACCCCATCCCTGCAAGCAAGAAAGTTCTTCAAGATCAACCAGAGTTAACACAGTGACAGAAGTGCTGATCATTAGTCACCTCTTGCCCTACACCAATTCCTCTAACCCTAAAGCTGATGGCAGTGCTCTAAACACAAGGCTTAGCTCTGGACCTCCACAGTTCTCTTCCCAGGGCGCGCACACCGAGGAACCTCCCTGTTTTTGCTTGCCGTGCACACATGAAAGTCTTTTGTGATCACCCACCCCAAAATTGTACTCTTCATCTTTTGCTGAATCTACATAGAATGACTGTATGCATATGTGCACCAAACTAAACAAAGTGCTAAAGAACCAATTAATAGACTGTTGAGAAACAAAAACAGAGTATATGAAACTGAGAGACTTTGTTGAACAAGGTCTTAGACAGGGATGTTTATAAGACCTAACAGCATACAGTAGAGGTCAGTAACTCCAATTTCACTGCCACACTAAGGAACTAATGCTGAGGATACAACACAAAGAAAGGTTAGGTTCCAACAAGTCGATACAATAACAAGAACTAAAAGCCTACATTTACACATCTTGATGTCTTTTTTTTTTTAATATCAAGAAAGCAGTATAAAATTCTAAAAAACTGATCATATCAAAACTAAATCGAATAATGAAAACAATGTTTTATGCTCAACATTTTCCCCTTCCTATTCTCAAGATATTTTACAGGCTAGTAGTCACTTTCTTCCGAGACTTTTCAACAAATCATTGCCAAATATATAATCATAAAGATTTTTACCCAAGGCCCAATGCTTATTATACAATAATTATAGAAACAGAGTCCAGGAGACATATGCTGTCAACACTGTTGTCCTGTCTTCAAATCTTGGCTCCAGAGTTGAGTCTTTAACACACCAAGGTTCTAAGGTCACTAGTGACAGAGTCAATTCTCATAGACGGAGAATGCTCAGTCAACCCCTCCTCACTTCAACCTTATAAATATTTATTCTTAAAATGAAAACAAAATTTCTGAAATTCTGCTATAAAATATAGCAGAACTCTCTGAAAACCATCCAAGTAAACAAAAGGTGTTAATGATTTAAGTGTTCTACCAAGAATAAAGTGCCTCTCACTACCTATGAGACCATTCAAATACTGGTCCCAAGGAATTGCTATTTCCCCCAGAAATCTCATGCTAGGGAAGGAGATACCCAAAGCCTAAAATGCCAGCCAGGAGGAAGAACATATTCCTGGGAAGGGACTTCATACAATTTTGACAAATTGCCAGAGTACCTCGGGACGGACTAAGCCCAGACAAGGATGGGTCAATGCCAGGCAGGAGCATACCTTGACCAAGACTGCTTAGCCATGCTGTTATGCTCTTGATCTCTGTTCAAGCCTAAACCACATGTATGAATGCCAACAATGGACTTGTTAGTCACTGGAGCTCTCTCGGATTCTCTTCTCAATGTGAGGACACTAATAGAATTTCCTTTCTGTGCTTTTTTATTGCTGTTTCTCTGTTAGCTGGCATGCTGTGAACAAGACACTGAGCCTAGTTGTTAGAGCCTCAAAGGCTCAGGCTTATGCCCCCAAAACAACAGTTAGCGTGACTACATTTGCAAAAAGAAAAAAAAAAAACCAAAACTACAAAAATATGGTACCAAAGACTAACAGCATCTTATAGACTCACAGTGTAAACTGGCAGACAGGTGGCTGGTAGGGATTCATGAGTAGAATGCTTAGCCTATGTGCGCCAGAGGTTTTAGACAGAGTGGCAAAATAATGAAATGGAAGCGATCATGAGTCTCTGAAATGAAGAACTGTGGAATCACAGGTCAACAAGCAAATGGTTACTTAGCTGATTATTCTACCAGGCTCCAGAACTCAGGGTTATTTTAGTGTCAGTTATATGAAGACAGCATAGAATGGTAAAATCACCACCTCCATACTGAGGCTCACTGAAACATGTATTCAGGCTGGGTAAACAACAAATAGAGACACAAGAAAGCAGCTGTGGAACTGCTCCAATTTCACAGGAAATCCAAAAGGCAATTCAAAGATACTTTTCAGTTCATAATTGAAGGGGGGAAAAAAAACATTTTAAAATATAACCTGCAGCAATACACTTGCACAGCACACTGCCCTTTCACCCCAGCTGGGGAAGCAGAGGCAGGCAGATCCCTATGAGTCCAAGGCTGTCTCAAAAAACACCAAAATCGGGGGAAAAAACAAAAATACAACAACAACAACCCCCCCCAAAAAACAAAGCAACAGGAACTCTTTTAATAATAGAGTTAAGACAGGCCCACATGCTCTGCAATCAGCAGAACTAAAGCCTTTACAAGCACTCACATGAAAAGTGATTATATTATCACTTCCAAATACTAGGCATACTTATAAAAAGGGCACATACCCTAGAAGACAATAGATTACAGTTTTAGAATATCCAAAAAGTTTGTTACTCAAAATGGAATGAACTAATCTCCTTCCTGTATGACTTCTAACTTCCATCTCTAACACAAACTACCTTTAGCCAAGCCTCTCCTTGCTGCCACCATTTATAAACAGAAGGCAGTGGGGGAGAAGCGCAGAGACCTGGAACCCACAGAAAGGGGAACGAGAGAACTGGCTCCATAAAGTTGTTCTCTGACCTCTGTACACATGCCATGACACACATATGTGCGCTTACACACATACAACATATACACAGAAAGATAATAAAATAAATTTTCCAAAGATGCTGGGAAATTCAAACACAGGGCAAAGTATACGACATGGGAAAGAATGCACTATAGACAGCAAGAAAGAATTTCAGCCTTCCTTGATCCAAGCAAGACTACAACAGTAATCTATAAAAACAAGAAGTCATGTCATCTAGTTCCCCTCACAGTACCCTTATGGCTAGCTCAAGTTCAGTGTGGTTCTCTATCCAGAAATATCAGCGAAACTCCAAAACTCTTTAACCAAACCCAAATACTTCACCACCCAAACCCTAAGCTCTTGCCATCAGTCCAAATCCCCAAGTTGTATGCATCCCCACTCCATGTGGTTCTCTTACAGTTCTCTTTATTATATATACCTCTTTATTCTTGCAAGCTTGACCATAAAGAGCCTTAGTAGATTTTAAAGACCCTTTCCTTAATTCTCAAGCTCAGAATCAAACTTAAGGTCATAGTCCAGAACACCCTTCCTTTCTAAAATTTAATTCTGATGCACAGCAACAAACCCAATACTTCAGGACAGCAAGTCATTATCTAACAAAATGAATGAATTTTTACTTCCAAACTTGCCTCCCTCCCCAATTTTCTTTCCCCAGACCCAATAATGCTAATATGTAATGGACATAGATATTAGCTAACATATTAATGAAGTTTACAAATTTCTACTTATTCTCCTCTCCCTATCTCCCATAAGGAAGATAACCAATTCCTTGAGATCATTTTGGGCCCTTCCTTCTCTTTCCCACAGCCCACATGCAACTCTAGCTATGCCACCACCTCTGCTAACTTGAGAAATCATCTCATTATGAGCCTCTTACAAATACATTAATATATACTGCTTCTCTGAAGGGTAACAGGGTAATACTGCTCTTAGCAACAAATCAATAACCAGCTCCTAATCTCAGCTTTCATGACTTTATATGATCTATTAGCAAACACATCTGGGCTTGCCCAACTTTCCACTTCTGGAGCGATTTGTTCTTTTAAAATTTCAATCTCAATTTCTGAGTTCTCATTTATTGCCTTACCGACCAAGAAAAGTATCTTTCAGCTTCCCTCAACCCCTGCTGCTGATTTCCCCCACCACCACCAAGATTCTGCTGCTCCACTGTCTCTCTACAGCACTAAAATGTTTAGTTTTATTAACAAAGA